CTGATAGAGCTGCTGTGCAGACTCCCTCCCAGCGCGTGTTATCTTCGAAAAAAGAGAAGCAAAACTTAATAGCGTGCAGCGGATGACAAACAGGACCCACTCTCAATTCGTGAGTTTGTATACTCGAAGGCATCAGTAAGGAGCATTGTAAACTCACATCTTTCACATAAACCAGAGGGAAGTAGATATCTTTGGGTGTTTTCTGTATCCTAAAGTAGTAAACCGCAACAGGTTATCGCAGTTTCCATGCCTCACTTAGGGAAAAGAAGAGACTTCCCCTCGAATGGGTTCATGTTTGACTACCCCTGCCAGGTCTCTCAAGTTGATTGACATGATTTGTGTTGGATCGCATATGAAAAAACAGTTAAAGAAATCCCTCAGCATGAGCCCATCAACTTGCGCGACATCGGATGACAGCGTCAACTTATGCAAGTCAAGGTAGTTTTGCAGCCGACCTTTGACCTACAGGCAAGGAGCAGGACTTCTCTCACACATTAATTGTGAGCCGCACAGCAAGTAACCGTTGATAAGATATTCATCAAAATCACTGCTGCATGTTGTGCCTACCCCTCCCCTCACTTTCCCCATAACTTACTTTTTGGCTAGAAAGACATTAATTTGGTAGACAAGTTCTCCCTCTATCAGAATTCCCGTCTTCTGTCAAAAGAAACAAAGAGTTGCCAATTAAATCAAAGCAGCCAATTGAATTTCACAAACTTTGAGTACCTCAAGTGTAAATTAATTTGGGACGAAAAGAATGCCTTATTTTGATCTAGGTATAGAAAAAAGCATTGACGGGATCCTCTTCACGTCCTATTCTGCTTAGTCATGAGTTCTTTCAAAGGCTTTGGACATGGCTGCCTAGTGTAGCCAAGAGATGGTAGCAGGCCTTACAGGGTCGATGTGCAAGTGAGACGTCAAATTGGGTTCAGTGGGGCCTTCGAAGTCTACTGCCTCTTTCACTTCAACGGCGGCTTGATTAAAGTAGGGAAGGGAGATGAAGAGTGGCTCGTCTCCTGCGATACCGAAATCCACGCAGGGACTTAATGAGAGAAGACCAGTTGGAGGGTATTGATTGGTGGGATAGACTTTTGGGTGGAAGGCAACATTGTCCGGCTCCTCGTCGGCACTGACAAATACCTTCTCTTCCATTTCCAGGGCCAATAACTAAAAGGTTTGCCACTTTGATGCAGTGCTGCACCAAATCAAATGGTTCAGTGCATTGACATTGTTCACAGGGCAGTACATACCTTCAGCCGAGGATAATTACTGGCAGACACCCACTTCTTAGCTATAAACGACACTGAGCGGCAGAGGTCTGAGCTAAACATGTAACGTCTAGCGCCCATCTTCACCGACGGTGGTGTGACGGCATCGGCTGCAAGCAGAAAATAGCTTTCCTCAGGACTTCCAACATCGCAGAACTGCTCACCACTGAAGCAGTCCGTAAGCATGCTGTGGTGGCAGACTGTGGGAGTCACGCCTGTCTTCGCTGACACATTGCATAACCCACAATCTTGCAACAACTCAGCATGACAAAAGTGACAGGGCAAAACAAACCCTCATGCTATTGATTGTCAAAACGGGTTCACAAACCAAATGACAGGGGCATTATTGAGATGGAAAAGCTAACCTGAACCGTTGAGCATATTCGCATAGACTGAACCCCACTTGTCAAGATTTCTGTGAGAGGAAAGGAGGACATGTATTAGCTCAGCTATCCGACGAAACGTTGAAGAGTGTGGTATTATAAACTTACATCTTGCCTTCGAAGGCCACCAAAGCACCTAATTTGGAGATGTTATGAGCCCCAGTGTTGATTTGGTAGGGACCGTAGAGGGTATTGTTGAGCTGTTGACCAAAGATGGGCCTTGATTCAACACTTATGGAAACTACGTGGAGGTAGCTAATTCATACACGCATATAGGTCGAAGAAACCGACTCAATCACACACTTACTCGATTGAATAGGCCTATCTTTGTGTCCTTAACCATGCCAAAGACTTTTGCCATCGACAAACTTTGGTATTCATGTCCCCACATAATTTCCTCTGCGGTGAGATTCATGAGGAGTGGGTTGGGTGTTAGGATCCACAGCCATTGCGTTGTAGTGGATCCAGCTTGGCTAATCATGGAAGTCGCAATCTAAATGAGAAAGAGTTAATGGTGTCGAGGAGTGTCGGTGCAGTCACGTTTTCACCACATTCACTTAATTTGTTGCGGTAGAGGGCGTTTGCTAATTTTAGTGGCAATTTGCCACTCCCAGTGGATTTGGTCTAGTAAAAGTTGTGGTCTACAACTCCAGTGCTTGAAGCATTGCTTCCGAATGTCGTTGTTCTACTCTACTAAATTTTGTGCGGTGGCTAGATTGAAGTCTAACAGAAAGCGAACAAATCCTCCAACTCTGTGTAAATGTACCCACCTATGCAAAGAGTTTCTCCTTTTTAATACAATGGCAAAGCCACCGACTTAATCCTCTTTTAACTAAAGTACAATGCCCTTAAATTGAGTTTGTCCTTCTCAACGGGTGGATGGTAGATGTCCAACAGGAAATAAAGCAATTTTCTTTCCCTTCCAAAAGCGAGCTGCGAACACGAGAAGTGAACACTTACACGTTCCACGAAGTTGGGTACCAGTAGTCGGTCCTGTCCCGGATCCCCGACGGAGCCATTCCGTTCAAAGTAGTATACAGTGGATAGCGAATACTCCAAGACTCTTCGGTCACACCTGTCCTCACTGAACCGCACATCCTTCTTCTTTGTAATTCGCCTGAAGTAATTCAATCAACTCTTCTACTCCAGGCGATTCGCCTTTCCAAATGTGTGAAAAAAGGTATTAGGAGGCACTGTGACCTCACACCCCATCCACATGTGCCAACAAACGCACCTGTACACGTAGGGTCCAACAGTCCTCAATCTCGGCTTTGTGCCATTCCTTTGCCACTCTTCTGCGTTGGTCAGGTTGAAAAGGTAGAATTGAAGTGTGCTGTTGGAGTCGGTTGTTAAGATTTGGAAACTCGAAGAATTTTCTGTGATGACAAGCTTCTGTAAAGGCAAATGTTCACCATCGTTTCTTGCAAGAGGTGGTACTAACCTTGGCAATTATGGTGCCCTCGATGGTGTCGAAGAGGAGTTCACAGGTCATTAGACTGAGGGCAATCAATGCAACGAGACAGGATAGAATGCACAGCGCGATCCTGCAGCGTCGTGAGGAATTCTCGCACACCTCGCCTACAGATGGAAATGTATCCATCACAGCCTCCCCATCTCTCACCCTGTATGATCTCCACGAGGGAAGATCACAATGATTGGATCTTTGTAGTGGAACTTGCTAATGCATGCATGTTAATAGGAGACATTAAAATACACATGGTTGAGTAGATGCCGTGCTACCACTTGTAGACAGAGAATGGAAGAGTATACACACTGACATACCCTCCTTCATCGTAACCATGCGATCCTAGCAAAGGGAGCAGTGGTATTAGATGTGGGATAGTCACAGCATTTTATAGCAGCTAGGCTTGACAGACCTCCACGTGATCTCGTGAGTACATCTGCACTTTTAGGCATTAGGGCAATTGCAACAATGTGGTGGAAAACTGATGATCAACAGAGCTTACATCCCTCACACTGAGGACATTACGCATTGTACCTCAACG